AGGATTCAAAATGATTTTTTCAGCTTGCGCTGGCCTTGTCGGGGTTAATCATCAGCCACGCACAGTCATATCGGACAATTAACATTTTAAACATGAATACCTCCAGATAAATGTCACTAGTAGCTGTTTCTAAAAAGTGCAGTCGTTTGTCCCCTTCCACCCGAAACCCTGTGCTGATGTGTGACCTCCATGCCCTCTCTCTGAAGCAGCCTTGACTCAGTGTGCGCTGCCTTGTTTGCTGACCTTAATTTGGCCGTAAATGGAGACTCCCTGCTCATGACTGCCAAGTCCAGAGTGGTCTGACAGACTGGGGTTACAAATTAACTGAACTCTACAGCCCAGCAGCCACCTCACCTGAGGGCCGGTCAGGGAGAAGTGCTGCTTCCCAGCTGTGAAGAGCTCCCGAATGTATGGATTCATCTGCTGACAGCTCCAATACAGGAAATAAATTATCGGGGCAGCCGAACGCTGACCTGCGCCAAATAACTCATCTTGCCTTTGGCATCCCCAACTGGCACTAATGTAGGCACACTTAGCAGCCTCTTGAAGACAACGCCTGGGAGAAACCTAGAGGATTAAGAGGAAGATTTACTCCCACAAAGCAAGGCTGCCCTTTCTCACTCCGTTATTCGGAGCAGCAGTGTGGCTCAAAGCAGGGGCTGCTGTAGTGCCCTGGAGCAAGGAACGGCCTTCCAAATGCCACCCGTAAATGTCCTGCCTTACGGTAGAAATGGGATCTTTCCATGGCCAACACTGGCAAGGAGGATCTGGTTAAAAATGGTTACCAGAAAAACATGCTGCTTCGTGTTGTATCTCTCGGGAGCACAAAATACCCCTCTCTCAGGTGCTGGTAATATTCGTCCATCCTCCTATTGTTAGACTGTGGGAGGAAACCCACTGAGAACTGCAAACAAGAACAACTTTCATGCATCTTTAGGTTTCCTCCCCTTCAGTTTTGCAACAAAGACATAGTTAAAGTTGGCTTTTCTTTCTCCTTTACTACCATTACAAACACAGACTGCAGGGTGAGCACCCCCTACTGGCCCAACTAACACCTCTTCCAGCAGCAGCCTTCCCAGGAGGTCTCCTATCCAGGTACTGACCAGGCTCACACCCACTGAGCTTCAGTGGGCAGCCAGTGGTGAGCTGCAGGAATCTGATTATGTATTTTGCCTAACTGGTCCAAGCAAAGCCATCTCCGTAACAATATGGAATATGCAATTGAAAGTTGCTCTGAATAAAAGCAGCAGCCTAAATGATAACAGAGTAGTTACTATTCTTGTTGAGGTAAAAAAACATTGCAATAGATTAAGTCGTTAAAAGTAAAAAACGAGGTCTGAAAGCTGCCCCTAATGTTACCAATATGAATGTCAGCAGTTTTAAAACCAATTGAATTGTTAGAAAAAAGTTATGTTTGAAGGTGCGATAAACATTTGCTCCATTCCACGACGTGTTTACATGCGTATAAAACTTGTGGAACCTCCCCTCCCCTCTCCACATACGCATACAGAATTACAGGCCATATTACATTACCATTAATATTAGAAGCGGAACGTATTTTAGTGTTTAAACTGATTTTGTTTCGCTGCGCACAGACACCTTAGCCTGGCTGAAATGAAGGACGGTATTTTTCAGCCCCCCTCAGCCAAACCTAAAAAACAGTGAACCGTCCCAGAGCTCGACCTCTGTCCCCTGTGTGCACACCGAAGACGCAACGCAACACTTTTGTAACTCCACAAAACTAATATTGCAAAGCAATATTGAATTGGTTGGGTTTTTTTTCCCCTCCACATATGTGGCTTTTCCAAAACTGCGCGGCACGCCGGCTCACGCCTGCAGGCGCGCCACGCCGGTCGCGAAACGAGGGTCCTCCGGTGACACTCGGGGAGCAGGAAGGTCTTTTTGACCCTTCATGGTCCGGTAGAAAAGGGTTTCTCCACAGGCTGTCGCAAATACGGGAGTCACGATACATTTTTACAAAGTCTAACAGCACGCTGGCCTGCGCAAAAAAACAACAACAACAACAACAACAACAACAATTTGGATAGATTTTTTTTTTTGGTGAAGTCTAATTTCTTATGGGTAACCGATGAAACGATCCGTCAGAAAAAAAATAAGAAGTTTTTTTCCCCGGGAGGTCTTTTCCTCCACCTCTCTTCACAGAGATATCATGCTACGCGCTATATTACTCCGAATATGTAGGTAACAGAATACCTAACGAACTCAAATAAGAAGGGTGATGAAGACGTAGTAGAGGAAGACGTGCGAATAACAGTAAAATGATTGTTGATTATTTAGTATACACTTTATATTCACACATATGAGACTAAGACGGACACATTTTAAAACGAATATGGTACTTAGAACATTTTAATAATAAACTTCATTTTATAAAGCGCCTTTAAAGGCAGCTTCTCAAAGCGCTCTGCAGAATGACAACAACAGCAACAACAATAAAAAATACACAGTGTCAGGAGACAGTGGACAGGGGGTATGAATACAGCAGGAGCAGAGAGAACAGAGCCAGTAAAGTAAAGGTAAATCCCAATTATTAACAAAGGCTTGCGGTGTTTCAAGTCCTAGACCCAACGAAATCTTGACGACGGGACTTTATGATTCTCATTATCTTACGTACAACCTAGAGACTACAGGAAACGTTTCGATTTTCCAAAGCGCCTGTGCTCTGCCACTATGTTCGGCAGAGGAATCCTACTCCGTTGGGCCCCTGAGCAAGGCCCTTCACCCCAGCTGCTCCAGGGGCGCTGTATAAATGGCTGACCCTGCGCTCTGACCCCCAGCTTCTCTCCCTGTCTGTGTGTCTCATGGAGAGCAAGCTGGGGTATGTGAAAAGATGAATTCCTAATGCAAGAAAATGTATACGGCCAATAAAGTTATGCTAATCTTTCTCTTCTTCATGCTGATCTTGCAGGGAGGGGAATTCTCCCGATCGGCAGCGCTCAATAACGTACCGGCAGCTCCTGAAGGAAGTCTGCAGGTGTGCCAACGTTTTAAAGAGCATGGGTAATCATCAAATTTTTTAAAAAAAATCTGTATTAAACACAAACCTAACCCATAAAGAGATATAGATGTCCTCTTAAATATTTAATTTCTGTTTGGATGGGAATATTGCGACATTCCCATATTATATAATATTGTGAGAGTGCGATTTCGGACCACAGGATGCGGATGCTTGTTGAGATCCGTGAATCCGTGTCTGAAGATCAATGGACACTGCTACTGAATACGAAATATTACGCTTTTTAAAGCAATTAAAAAACTCCTTGTAACTTGTCTGCAACATTTCCCTCATATGCTGTATATCTCATTTCTTTTGGAAACAGGAGTGGGAAAGGGCGACAGAGTTGCAGTGTACCTGCCCATGATACCAGAGCTGGTGTGTGTGATGCTAGCGTGCGCCAGACTGGGAGCTGTGCATTCTGTTGTGGTAGGGGGACTCTGTCTTGCTGTGGTTGTTTTATTAATCACCTCCCATGTGCATTGTTTCCTCCCGCCTTTTCCTTGTCCGGCTCATTTTAACTTGCAGACTGCTCGTCAGGGAGGTTTATTCGCATCCTGTTAGGAAAGCAGAAAACAGCTACAGCTGCATTTGTTCCCTGTTAGATGACAAGAACAATGCTCCGCTTGCATTACAAGTCCTGATCAGTTAATATTAATATGTAGGCTTCAATGAAATAGAGGAATGACCTCATAACTCAGCATATCACTTCTACACACACAGGCACTATTTTCCCTTTGCCTTGTGGTAAATGTTTTGACATGTTGGCTTTGCTCAGTAATTACTAGTTTATATATATATACCATATACAGTATAAACTCATACAGTATATATTCATATACGCTCCGTAAGGCTGCTTGCTGTCTCTTTATGCTGCTACACAATTTGCCATTTTGTTCTGTTCTCCTCTGTAATGTTATAGATCCCGAGAAGTCTCATCTTCTGTGCTCTCATGTCAACAGAGAACAATTTCTCATCTCTTGCTCTCTCCTGAGCTCTCCGACACTCCATTACCAAGACACATGCTGTGATACCAATCAGCTCAACCCAGGAAGACGGCACAGTTCTAAAAGTCTGACACGTTCTTGTCTTTAAAATAACAAAAAGTATATACAACTTAGCATATGTAACAAACTGCATATACACTCAGTGAAAGTTGCTCTATCGTGCAAAGTAAAAACAGCAACATAAATACATCATAGATGTTTTCGTGGTTCCATTTCGTTGGTAAGTGACTGCCTCAACACCAGAATGTGTAAACGTCTTGCTGCACAGAAAAACAAATCAGTGTGGTACGACAATCGTGATACAAGCTCTGCAACGTTCCATTCCTCAGTGTCAGCACAAGGATATTCAGTTCAAGCCTCATTATCCTCTGGGGGAAATTGGTTTTCCGGCACAGTCCAATACAACATTCCAACAAGACAGAGAAGTTCAAGTTCAAGTTGATCTGTCATTCCAGCCATATACAAGTGTACAGTGGAACTGGTCCACGGTGCAAGTACAGACAGGACTCTGACACCAAGGTGTTGAGAAGACAGTACAATAGTGTTACAGGTGATCTGAGAGTTACTCTTTACAACCCTCTATTTGTAGAGGATGTACAGTTCTGCAGAATCTGATCAGACAACAGAAAACAAATCTGCTATTCATTTTTTCAACTACTGTTCTTCATTACTCCACAGAATCATTTCTGTGTTGTTTCAATTGCTTTTAAACTTACAGTGAATTGATTATTGGTGAGTGTGTGTGACTTCGTTTGATATATTTCCGAGACAGGAGTCAGAATTCACCAATCCCTTTTCCCCAGGGTGATAGTGGCTTCTTCTTGTCCAGAAGTAGTGTTTTCAGATATTTTTCTTCAGATAAGTGAAAAAGAGATGGCTAATGTAATTCAGCGGTCCTGTCACGTGTGACAAGCAATGTCCAGTTTGTTAAATTCTAGCCTTTTGCTTTCTTTCATAAGTAAAAATAAATAATAATCTCTCCTGTCGTGAAGTACCTTATAAGATATTATACCTAACCTATACTAATAAGTATTACATGTTGGTAGCAAATTCCCAGGGAGAATAACGCTTGTAGCACTTAAGGCCAGTTGGGAAGCATAGAAAAGTAATAATTGGCCAAACAAAATCATCAGTTTCTTTTTTAACTGCTACGAAGGGAGAATGGCTCTTCTGTGTTTAGCCGAGTGCACTACAGTATACCTTTGTGTTTAGTTTGCAGGTTTCTCATCCGAATCGCTGTGTGAGCGAATCCTGGATTCACAGTGCTTGTTCCTAGTCACAGCAGGTACCAGTCTTCCTATAAGGCCCAAGTGCATGCAAAGTGTTGTTACAGGAACTGCAAGATATGTACACTAACTTCACCATTGCCGTTGCCTGTTTAACTCCCTTTTTTTCTGTTCACTCTACAGATGGTGTTTTCAGAGGGGAGAAACTTATCAACTTGAAACAGATCGCAGATGAGGCACTGGAGAAGTGCAAGGAAAAGTAGGTCCTGTAATCTCTATCTCATTACAACTAGTTTAAAAAAATGAAACCTCAACTGAAGGAGACCGATTGCTGAGTTGTTGTGTCTTATCACCCAGGCTAAGTACAAGCTATCCTGTTTGCTTGGCTTTCTTTCATCCTGCTGTGTGATTAAAGAGATACCAGCAAGCCAGCCTCACCCTAGATTCTTAAATCTTCCTCTGAGTCAGTATTACTGTACAGAATTTAACTGATCAACTGAGAGACTTTGTTAGAGAGCTTTAAGAGTTCACATTGAAAAATACAAATCGGAAATGTGAGATATTTCACACCTTAAAATATCTAATATGTATATGATACTTCTGAGAATATTTAGGATCACAGAATTGAAAACTGAATTGACGAATTGATGATAAAGACCAGTAACCTAAGCAAAGACATCATCGCCCAAAGACATCAAGAGATTCAGACTAGAGTCTGTGGTATTCGTATTAATAAAGAGCATAAAAAACTGGGCATAGTGATTATTGAAATTGTTACTATGATATAAATACAGTACTTTACTCACAGCAATAATGCACATTAGCCAAAGCCTTTTTTATAACCCACTGTTGTAAATTGAGCCTTGAGAATGTAGCCCACAACCTAACTGTTCAGTGGCAGCTAATATTTGTCAAAGTTCTAACTCTTGTGCAACTTCTCTGCCTGCAGAGGAAATTTTACCATAAAGACCTGTATTGTCGTGAGGCACGTTGGAGATAAGATGAAAAATGGAATAGTTTCCAACAAATTGCAGGTACAGTATGTGCCCGATCTGTTGTGTCACTCCAGAAACCTCTCTCCCTGCTCAAAACTTTTACACAATTCTTCAGATCGTTGGATGTGCCAAACGTGCCTTCAACGTTTATTCAGTGCAGAGGGTGAAATGCTCTTATCAGCTCCCAGACTGACAAAGAGCCAATTACCGTAAGGATTACTGTTTGTACAGTGGGAGAAGTCTTGCTTTCTTTGTGACAGGTGATGGATGGAGGGGGTTTTGATTATCCAGAGTGCAGAAATGGAACCAAAGACGAAGTGGTGCCAGTTTCCAATCGCTCTTTGCCACAATCAGTGATGCATGCCCGCTGTGTCTTCGACAGGTTCACTATTTCAAAGGG